CAGCCATTGGGAAGTAGCCTAGGGCATCCTCGGTCGTTGTATTTAGCGCATGCGCACATTGAAAGCTATCCTTTTATTTTACGTAGTCAAAAACTAAAGTGATTAGCGCAAAATTGTCTTTGTTTTTCGTATAATTTGAAATGTAATTGCGACTTTTTCACAAAGGCTGAACCACAGACTGTTTGCTACAGTGACAGATCAAAGCGGATTTAACTACAAGAAGGAACATTACTTTACCATTGCATCTATGGGCAGCAACTCCAAGAATTAAAACTCTGACAATATCAAGCAGGTTTTGGCCCAATAGACTGAAGTTAATTGGTTTACCACAAGTTGTTGTATTTGTTCGGATTAATACCGTCTATTTCCCTACCTAGCGTTGGGTGTTCTGGCTACTAGAAAGAGTGTCTGCTTCTATTAGCATCTTCATCACCAGTTCTAGTGCTCCACAGGGAGCCATTACTTCTGTCACGTGGACCCAATACCGGAAGTGTCACGTGACAAGGTTGAAATCATCGCTTGTTTGATGACACTCTGAGTATCAGCTCGATCGTGAAGTCGTTGTATGGGAAGGTTAAGTCGACTGGTATCAGGGCATTACGTTTGGCACTGGTAAACCAATAAATCATGGCTACACTATCGCTTAGTAACCTAACACCATGCGATAAAAGGTAACCGGTTACCGCTGATTGATTGCACACATAACCAGATTGTCTAATTTCTATGGCATTAATAGTCATACGAATACATCACTCTGTGAAAGTCGATAGTCCATTATGACTGTTAGTGAAATGCTACAATTGATCAAATCCGCGGTGCCCGGGCCAGATGTGTATGCAGGATTAAGTAGTGATGTTTTACCATCTCGCGTGTAAGTGTTTCATATGAAACTAAATCTGTCGCACAATATCTCATCACCCCCATCTATTAAATTGTATTCCTCTGGATTTACCTACATCCTGGCATTGTTCTACTATTGTTCTGCTATTGGTCTACAATTGTCCTGCTATTGGTCTACTATTGTCCTGCTATTATACTATGGGTACACCTGCTTTGCTGTGTGTTCACCCTTTTGTCATAGACGATAAAGGACCAGGGTCCTGCTAATAGCTTTTCTATATCTATTTCCAGATGATTCCTCGGTAAATGTGTAGGATAATTAATTTCGCCAACAGTCGATGCTGTGTATGGTGTTATTTTAAAGTATTTGGACGTAATAGTTTCATCGGGGAATGTTGGTTCGTTCCTTGTGATAATATTTCAGCTTTGAAGATACGCAGTGCGAAATACCTATTTTATAACACGAGGGAGCTGTGAAGCAAAACCCTGATTGTATTTCACAATATGGAATAATGCTGTCAACATTTAGTTTTTTTTAAAAGTTTTTAATATATTGAAAAAAACTATTTTAGCGAGCGAAGTTAATATTTATTTGGGAAAGTAGTTTGAGCTGTCAGCGATAATGACGTATGATGAGCTTATAGCATTTACCAAAGAAACTAATTAAAAGCGAAAAAAACATTTCCGTAAAAACAGTCCAATATACGATTCCAACCATATCATCATCATGTGATTATGAATCACCATCAAACAGTGATAATATCAGGTGTTCGTTTAGCGGTGAGCTTATCCTGTCTCACCGGTGGTACCTGTCGCAAACACATGCAAAGGCAAATAAATTGAAAATATATGGTACATGTCAAAGTAGGGAAATTAATTTTAGACACTGGTGGGTCAAATTGTGAAATGAACTGCACATGTATACAATAAAAATGTTTGATGTAACCCTGATCAGAGCTTTAACGTATGAAATCTTCGTGGAAAGAACGTTAAACAAATTCTAATTATTCATTAGCGCAATGCTATTTAAAAATGCAATTATAACATTGCTCTATTCCAACATATTTTATGCTAATTGTGTGGCGGGTGATACCCGTAGGTCAGAGCATACCAACCCTTTTCGCGAACACCTGGTGTCATCACTGATTTTTTCTGGTTTTGCTATAGTTTTTACCGCTAATTTGTCACGTTCGCCCAAAGGAAACTGTTTCATCGGATAATCGAGATTGGTTATTCTCTGGCGTTGACGTTTAATATTTATATCACGGTACTGAGCTCTCTGTTAGATTAATGAACATGTTTATTAACATCGATTCATTAGTTTGTTGTTTTACGCTACACTCAGCAATATTCCAGCTATATGACGGCGGTCTGTAAATAATCGAGTCTGGACCAGACAATCCAGTGAGTGACATCATGAGTATCGATCCACGCAATTGGGATCGATGACATGCTTCAACCAAATCAGCAAGCCTGACCGCCCGATCCCATTAGTCGCCTCTTACGACAAGCATAGTCGCCTTTTACGGCAAGCATGGGCTACTGAAGACCTATTCTACCCCGGATCTTCACGATTCAACAAGACAAACAATACTGTAAATCGTGAACACACTTTGGGTCTGATCCGCAGTAATACGTTCAAGTATCCCGTGATCATGGGTTTGAATCCCAGATCCCAGATTACAAGCCTTTGTTTGGGAATAATATACACATGTCGTTGGTTTTGGTGAAAGAATGAGTGAGTGAGTTGGGTTTAACGCCACTCTTAACAGTATTCCAGTTATATCGCGGCGAGTCAGCTTAATGTGGGAGGAAAGCCCGAAGTGATGCAGATCTCAGACGTTTACCACAGCGGTGAAACCCACAAGCACGGGCATGGTGCTGACAAACCTAGAAACATAATCGGGGTGAACCGGGATTCGAACCCACAATCATTGGTTTCTGGCGTGCCCAAGGGCCGCAACTCTGCACAGTGAATCGCGGCGCCTTAGACGACTGGGCCACCGTGACTCACTTTTGCACCTGCAACCTGCGTCATTGCGTCCCACAAATCGGTGATGTGATGTGAAATGGGGTTTAACGTCTAGCTCAAGATTATTGTACTCATATTGCAATGTACATGCAGGTGTGTGTTTGTTGTGTGCGTGTGCGCGCGTGTGTGGTCAATTTGTACTAGTTCGGACTAATATAGTTGTATATAGTTCTTTACCACTGAAATACCATGCCGCAGTTTAACATGGATACCCCCTAGCTGAGTTCATAGCGGATATAACTGACATACTGTTCAAAGCGGCGTTAAACCAAATCACTCACTCACTTTGGATTGATTCACAGTACGCCTGTTATAGCACTTTCGCCACTGTCATTTATTAGGTTAGATCTGCGTGATGGATTTATCCAAACAGTACTTTTCTCGTCTCCAAATCAAAGTGAATCATCTCGATGTGTTAGAACTACAGAAACAGGCATGTCCTCTCTTACTCTGAACCCTAATTAGATCGTCTAGTACTTGATTGGACACAGACACCATAACGTGGAAAGGTGAGGTGAAATTGGGTTTTGTGTCGCGCTCAATATTATTACACTTCTACAACGACGTGTGTGCACGTTTGTGTGTGGTGCTTGTACTACCACGGACTAATGCCGGAGATATAGTGTTAGCCCACTGAGATAACATGTCACTGTTTACATAAATTCCCCACTCAGACACAGTATACTGACTCCGAGCCGACCACTTCTTTGTTTATAGCCTTAATGCCGAGCACCAGGCAAGGTAAAAGAATCACCGGCTTTTAACGTCTTTTGATATGACGAGACCGGGGGTCGAACCACGGACTCTCAGCTCTTCGGGGAAACGCTCCATCCACCAGACCACGGAGGTGGTTGTACCGTGAAGAAGACGCCACTGCAGGTGTAAAGGTCGTTTTCAGTGGTGGGGCAACTACAAACACAGTATTGGTTCTGCGAAGCAAACATCAACACAAATATTGTCATGATCTTTCGGCAATACTCTGTCATTATGTGACGTGTGTGAAATGGTACCACAATGCATCGCATCACAAAGAAACACTGCTCAACGGCGCGAATCTGAGATTCAACAAAATTCTTCTTCTTGTTCTATCAGCACCATAACTATTTTCACCATACAGGTAACGGTGAACGGTCTGCTTTCTTTGGACTTCAATCACACTTCAAGCCGACATGCCGTGACAGAGCTGAAACCACTTCAGCCATCCATGACATATGTACGCCGAACATAATATGTCATTTTTTGTTTTAGCTTTTATATGATCCGTCGTTTTTAATATTTTAACCACAGTAAATCTTGCTTCTTGTAACTGACTTTTATAGGTTGTATTGGCAGTATAGCCTCAATATACCCTCGACAGGGAGTGAATGTGTGTCTTCGTGGATTGTCAGGTGTAACCAGATACAGTTTGAACACTAAATACACTGAGTGAGTATGGTTTTACGCCGGTTTTAGCAATATTCCAGCAATATCACGACGGGGGACACCAGAAATGGGCTTCCATATTGTACCCATGTCGGGAATAGAACTCGGGTCATCGGCGTGACGAGCGAACGCTTTAACCATTAGGCTACCCGACCGCCCCCTAAATACACTGATCAAGGCGTGTGTGAGAGGCACGCTTTCGGATGACTGCCTTTCGTATTTAACTGTTTAGCAATAAGGAAGGCAGAAGAAGACACTTGGCCCGGTAGTCCTAACCTAACACACTCAAGAGGAGTGAGTGAGTGAGTGAGTGAGTGAGTGAATGAGTGAGTGAGTGAGTGAGGTTTTATTCCTCTTTGAGAAGGGGACACCAGGCATTGACTTCACACAGGAACAACGAAAGAAAGTAGGGTATTACTACATATCACTATCCATCAACTTGAGAAGATTCAATATTTTCTTAAGCCCATCTTAGGGTGTTGTGTTCGTATATAATTATGTACCTAATGCATCACGTGACAGGAAATGACGTAATGTGACGTCGGATCAACGTCGTATTGATCGCCCAACTTCCCCTCATGACAGCATGTTGAGCGCTGGTTATTTCAGGACTGGGCGTTTGACGTACTTTGAGAGACATCACAGAAGAGTCAGTATTTACGTACTATGCATGCAAGGTGTGTTCAGCTGACTGAAAGACGAGTACTGAACGTTTGGAAAAAAAATGTTTAATATTTTTTCTCAAGAAAATATAAACATCAACCTTTGTGAGAATTTCTTGCTGTCTCTTTTTGATGATTTGTAGAAACCGAAATATGCTTGATGCGATATGTATAACACACAAAAAATACATTTTTACGTTTTCAGTATATTAACGATTAAATCTGAATCACTGAATCTGAGAGTTTGTTTGTTGCTATAGCAACTGTTGTGTCACGACTTTTCCGTTTCCTAACGACTGTCAGCAGTGGGATCTGGTTCACGGCTCAATGTAAGGTCACCACGTGAGGTCATCGCACAGTCCATGCTGTAGTTGCCCAAATAAGGAAATACCTAAACAAGATGGCGTCGTTTCCTCGAGTTAGCAATTCCGTTGACGAATTCTTCACGTGATAAACTGTCATCACCTGGTGGGAAATAAGAACCAATTATTTTTTTATATATCACATAAAACTGCTTACAGTGAACTCTCATTAACTCGAACTCCTTAATTAACACAAAATATAATAACATAATAGTTCTGGCAGAATCTATACAATGATCTAATATCAACGCACCGCCTCTGAAGTGAATATGATAGAGTTTGATTGTTTGTTTGTTGTTTACCGCCGCACTCAGAAATATTCGAGCTATATGACGGCGGTCTGTAAATAATCGAGTCTGGACCAGACAATCCAGTGATTGACATCATGAGCATCGATCCACGCAATAAGGATACGATGACATGCATCAACCAAGTCAGCGAGCCTGACCACTCGATCCCGTTAGTCGCCTCTTACGACAAGCATAGTCGCCTTTAACGCCAAGCATGGGTTCCTGAAGACCTATTCTACCCCGGATCTTCACGGGTCGTATCTTTACGCCTCTGCCAGGACAGCGGAAGGTTGTAGGTTACAAGATGGTACTTGTTGTTACCCTAAAATGGTTTTCTTTCAATAAAACATGAAAGTAAAGAAACATTTCGTTCTTCATTAACTGCTAAATCTTTGAAATGAGTATACACTTTAAAGTTCGGTGTTTTAATCTCAGAATGTTTTGCTCCACAAACTAATAACAGAAAAGTCTTTGCAATGTACATGACCGCCTCTTAAATCCAGAGCTACAAAACACTCTCTACATGCATGACAAAGGGGATGATTTCAGTTTTTTTAAAAGTCATCTTTCCCTTTATGTCAAGCACAATTTATTTTTTCAGGTGAACAAAAGACATGCCTACGCTGAGTTTCGCGGACACCTGATACCATCGCTGTTTGATATATCTCGATTCATAAACACATGCTAAGAAATAGTCGGAATCGTACAACGGAGATACCCTTTGATTGTGGACATGTTTCTAACTTTTGTTCCAGAAACACGTGTTAGTCTGCGTGGGCCATGAAAGCACATGCCTAAGATTATTGATAGAGATATAGAGGATTCATCACGAGTGTTTTTTAATATGGGAAATATCAACCGAGTCTTAGTTAATCGGTATTTGCCGAGCCTTTGGTGAGGCAAATACCGATTAACGGGACGAGGTTGATATTTCCCATATTAAAAAACACGATCGATGAATTCTATTTATCATTTTCACATTTTTGCTTCCAAATTAAGGAATAATTGCATTAAATATTAACATCAGCAACTTGTCGAAATCTTACGTATAGATCGTGCGTAGTGATACATGTTTTCCATAGCCATGTAAACCAAAATAAACAATTCGCTGCGAAGAAAAGTTCCTCGGATTATTTTAAACAAAATACTTGAACAGACTTTTGCAGAATAATTGAAACTTTAATAACGGTAACCACAACGATTCTGTGTAATCTGATTATATCTCTGGTGTAACTTCACTTATAATATATAGTTTCAAATCAAACCGCTCGCTCTTCCGGTTATCTAATTTGCATATCTAATTTGCATACTTATGTCATTGGGGTATGACATACATGTTTTTATGTCATAAGCTTATGTCATGGATAAATGCTTAAGTTAAATGATAAAAACATCTATCTTCTCTGCAATGAGGATTTATTTTTAAAAAGGACTTTTTTTATGTTTTGAAGGACAGTATGTCCAGCGAATACTCTTTTATGCAAAACCAGTTGCCTCATTATATTTTAACAGTATTAAAAGCATCCATTATTTTTCGTAATTTTAACTATGAGTAACCAGTTAAACGAAACGATTTTGCTGTCTTATATAGTGTTTTGCACTCTAAATGTAAGTAATATACCACGAGTGTACTGTACAACAAAACCTTGCATGGAGAATACACTACGAGGGGCGCAGCCGCGAGAGGTTTATTCTCCCAGCAGTGTTTTAATGTAGCCAAACAACGACCACGAGTCGTTTATTTCTTATGGTAAACATCAACATTATTTACAGCCTCTTTAAGGGTGTTAACAGGATTTACAAGCTTTATAAATATTTATCCGTATTTAAATGAGGATGACTCCCTGAATACAATCCGATCTGGGTAACCCGGTTCATTTTATGAACACGTGGGTTGCACAGTAAGGAGAAACTGTGCCAAGTGGATAAATGACGGCTGTCATCTGTACCTTTTCTGCTATAACAGATTTCAATATCTCGCCAACTTTTGGATGCGATCGATCGGCCATTGCGTTAATCTCTTACAATATATCTGTCTTTGACAGTGCGCATGATGCCCTGTCGAAACGGTACAACTATCACATTTATATGTCTATCAACGACACACCACTTTTGCCCTGTGAAAACGGTACGACTATCCCCATCAGATACTATAAATCTTGAAATTACCCCGAGCGTGAATTAAATGCGAAAACTGCGAGTCGTCTTTGTTCGCATTAATGACGGTTCGCATTTATGTCTCCAGAATGACTATCAAGAATAAGACGGCCTGACTGCACACTTTGGATAGCGGAAATCCCAACTTGAATATAAACACAAACACGGTTTTTTGAGGCGCAGTTGTAGTAAGTATATAACAATGTCATACAAAGAATAGGAATTACACAACAGGAATCAGGTGAGCTATCTATCTATGGCATACATCAATTTGTGTCAATGTGAACTACCTGAGACCTGATGAAAGGTTTTACATTTGAAATGTAAGACCCGCAGCGTCAGGTTTCAAATGTTTAATTCTATCATGACAAAATTAAACGCAAATTCTTTAGGACATTGAGTGAAACAGCATCGGATATCGATTACAATGTAGGACAACATGACGCAACAGTTTTCAAGCTCTTTGAAGTCCAAAAACTTGAAATACACGTTTTTAGTCAATTTCTATTGTATTTCCTGTAAAGAGATCTGGTGGCACACATATTTTGAGTATAGAAACCGAAAATCTGCAAGTTTCAAATGTTGAAAAATTCTTCAAGATCATGGTAGAATACAGATTTAATCTCCCGTGAATTTCCCTGGTTAGAATTGGTATGCGACAAACGGAATCGGGTGGACTTGCTGACTTGGTTCAAACAAACAAACAGATTTAATATGTTTCCCCAACAAAGGACAGTCGGGATCCCCAAAGGCTAGGAAACGTTTACGGAAGCTAATATAAGACCACTTGACGAATTGCACATTGCAGTAGACCTGTGGGAACCCTTGGACGCAATGAACATCTTCCAAAAAGACAATACTCGATCACCAAAGGGACCACAAAGTGATGTATAACAAAGACATGTCGACGTTTTTCCGTCAACTATTAGACATCAATTATCAAATGATTCTACTTACCATTAGCGTCCCAGGCAAAGAAAAGAATGGGCGCTGGTAGACTGAACGATGTTCCAAGCCCTGTCTGGGGTTTTGTCAGTGACTTATTGTCTTCATTACTATTTGGGTAAGGAGATCCCTTAGGAATCTGGAGTTTGGCTTCTACTTTACTGACGTCGCTTCCGTCATTGTTTCTTCGGCCTATCCTGGGGAAGGTATTTTCATCACTCTGGGTGAAGAAAGACGCCCGTCTCTCGATCCCATCCCTAAACGTGTCCTCCACCCCTCCACTCCTACCTATCCGGGGGTATGTGTTTTCACTACTGGCGGTGTAGAAGCTGCGGCGGCCGATGCGGGGGTAGTCGTTGTCCTTGCTGTTGGTCCAGAAGATGCCTGCACAGGACCCCGCCACTGCGAACACCAGGAACACTAAACTCTCCTTCATCCTGCGCCGGGGATCTGTGAACAGTGAGTGAGTGAGTAATGACTGACCGAAATATTTAATTCAGCAAGTTACTGACACTGTGGAGATCAGTTTGGGGTCAGTAGGCCATTTTATCTTACACACGCCACATGCCACATGCCACATGCCACATGCCACGGTGAGTGAGTGAGTGAGTGAGTGAGTGAGTGAGTGAGTTTAAAACCGCTTTGTATATTATTTCAGATATACCACGAGGTGCTATCTTTGTTCGTTTAAAAAAAATAAATTTAAAGTGCTATCTTTGGTGAAACCAGCACGGGCATGAGACTGACAAACTTAGAAACATAATCAGGCCTAACCGATTAGAACCCACGATCATAGGCTCCTGGCACGCCCAAGGGATGCAACTGTGCACAACGAATTGCAGCGCCTTTGACGAATGTTCGTGTTCCTTGCAGGAACTGAAGCTAGGGTTGTTTTTCTCAAATGCAAAGCTACAGTAGCCGGGACAGATGGCGTCATCAAGTGATAGAAAACACCGGAGATTAAGTTGCGTTACGCCATGGTATTATTTAGTGGTAGGAACAACTGATTTCAGTATTAGTTACGTACGTTTTGTGATAGCTGGTAAATTGGTGTCAGCGGTGTCCACTTCATTCATTCACTTAAATGCATTAATAAACAACACTGTAAATAACAGCAACGAAACCCTTTCCAGATTCAATAGAAATCTCTGCTAAAGCAGAGTCGGTTGCACGAGTGGGACTCTTTCATGATCATATGTTTATGAATCAAATAGTGATGACACCAGGTGTTCCAAACATGTTTAAAGTATGGAGATGTTGTATGTGTTTAGACCCAAAACGTGTTTAGATATGACACACCAAGTGTGTATTCCGTTTAGGATTTAAACACATCGTAAACATAATAAACATGATGAACATTTATAATAAATATAATTAATATAATAGATATAATTAATAAATTTATAAATATGTACACCCGTATAATGTTTTGTCAACACGGTGGTCGCAACTATATAGGCAACTGAGAAGAAATGTGAATTCCCTTTCATTATCAACTCCCTGGGGAGTACATAACATTGTGACGGAAGAAGCTATGCCCAAGTACCTCCAATGTAATGCCACGTTGGCAACATACCTATCATGAGAACTGTTGACATTAATATTGATGACGAAGGTTCATACATGAGAACGCCCACAATACAGTCTTAATCGTAATAATGGGTTCTGACAAATCGAGTGAAAATAACGGACAATACACTGTCGAACAGCTATCGTTAAATGTCTTGAGTATCTGCTTTCCAAATGCTCATTTTAGAATAAATTGCAGCTGTGGATACAAAAAACGTAACTACAAAAATACTGAAAATGGAGAATGGATTTGAAAAGGTGTTTTTTTAATTGACTGCCCACATGGTGGCGTTAGTATTTGCTCTTGATGCTCTTGTTTCCATACATATTTATCGTGTGGCATCTCTTTTGGGATTCAACCCCGGAATCGTTTAGAAGCAAAATATTTGGTTCGTAATAGCTATTCATAAAACCAGCACGAACTCGGCAATCGCAGGGTCCAATTAGTTAGTTTGTACAAAGAGTGGAGCACTCGTATGAACAATACCGTCAAGAAATATTCAACGCCTCCATAACAGTGAATGTCACAAGCGTTTCAAACGACAACCCCATGAAACTACATTGTAGAGATGAAACAAGGTGACTGTTTACCCTTTCAGATTATACGCATGGCCTGCACTCTTTCTTATAAACTATGTCAACGTGAAGCGGGATTGTCACATCAAATTGAAAAATAATTTTAGTTCTGACAAATATTGCAGTAAATATTCGAGGAACATTATACACATGTTAGATATTTGAGCAATGGGCTATAACTAATTTGAATTAAAGCGCAGTTTGACTCAAGTTTTATATTCGAAGAATGATTGATGTATTTTAGCCGCAGCCCCCTGTCCAATCTAGAATATGGAGTTCAAATGTCCCCAAGGAAGTATAATCGCCGATTTATCATTGTAAACTACACGAACGTAGGATGGCTTTAATACCGTAGATGAACACGACGATGAAAGAAAACCTTAATGATACAGGCGTGAGTTGCATTTAACAAATGCATCCGATAGTTTATAAAAAAAAGTATATTGCTCTTTGGCTGCAGCGATCCGTAATTTCAATCTTTGTTCAGCGATGGCAGATGGAAAGCGTGATGTGTACGTCATGAGGATGTTGTATCGTTGCCAAACGGTAGAACGAGGAAGTGAAGTGTAAACCTGACAGTGGACAAAACCTATTGCGAAAGATACAGAAATATGAGCTTTGCTCTTGATGAATATTGTTGAGGATAATAGGGGAATGAACTTCATGAAGGAAAATGCCAACATCTGACCCATAACAACGTCGAAGGAGACATGGCTCCCGGAAATTCGAGATGGTGACGTCGGAGGTGTTTAACGTTAAACAATGGCTGAGAGAGGTGTACCGTAATGCCGTGGCAACTAATAGACACAATCTGAAAAAATTGGAGCATATATGTATGTGCCTTTATTGTATTTCTAAGGATGAAATACTGTATTTATTGGTTAAAATGAAAAACACCGATAGGGTGAGTGAGTGATTGTGGTTTTACGCCGCTTTTAGCAATATTCCAGCAATAGCACGGCGGGGGACACCACAAATAGGCTTCACACAGTATGCCCACGTCGGGAATCGAACCCGGGTCTTCAGCGTGACGAGCGAACGCTTTATCCACTAGGCTACCCGACCGCCCTAAAACACCAATGGAAATAACATGACATCACCATATATGTAACATGAAATCACTATAAAAACATGTTATTGAGGGCGGGGTTAGAATTGATTTTTTCACAACATGTACAATATGGCGGTAAATCGAAATGTTGTATCATAGGTGTGAGTATTTATTGTGTAATATGAGGTTTCAAAACCCGTAGGAACAATACACATAACAGAGCACGTGACACAAATTGCAGACTGATAATTGCTTCTGACTTTTTTTAAAAAGCGTCAAAAACCTTCATGGATTCCAGGCGTTCACACAAAGCTCAGCTTATCCTGTCCCCCGGTGACATTTGTCACAAACACATGCAAAGGCAATTCAATTGTTTTTCTTAACAGACACGGACACGTATGGTACAAGTCAAGATAAAAAATTGCATCGGATTTGAAAATGTCCACGTGTCGACCACAAACCTTTTTGAAGTTATACTAAGGCCTTGAATGTTGTAATCGTGATGAACCAACTGTTGACCAAAGCCATATAACTCTCTTTAAAATCGTGACTTGATTGTACGCAAAACAATGTGAAATTTAGACCCCAGAGGCTGAAGGTGCTGCAATATTGCTCGACATAAGGAAACGTAGACTCTTGGTAAGTTGAAGTCATCCCTCATTATGCATAGATCTAAATATGAAACTTCTTGGTCAAATGCCCTTGTTAATATTTTGCCAACTTGAGAAGAATTCCTGTCTCGTAGGTCTAACGAAACAAACAGAGGAGCACAAGTTTTGCACTAGGAAATGGCTGCTTCTTGCCTAAAGGTCCTAATCCCAGATTCTACATCAACGAGGAGGTCCATAATTTCACATATTGTTGCGAATCTTTGAAGATGTAACTATATCTATGGTCACCAAGTTTAAGTGAAAATGCCCTTAAAGGTTGATTTGTGGGATAGTGGAGTATAAATTACAAGCATGTCACTGACACTGTTGGGATCAGTTTGGCGTCTGAAGCCCTTTAACTGCCATACGCCACATAAGTGAGTGAGTGAGTATGGTTTTACGCCGCTTTTAGCAATATTCCAGCAATATCACGGCGGGGGACACCAGAAATGGGCTTCACACATTGTACCCATGTCGGGAATCGAACCCGGCTCTTCGGCGTGACGAGCGAACGCTTTAACCACTAGGCTACCCGACCGCCCCTACGCCACATGAAGCAAGCTGAATCTTGTTGAATGTTTCATGTGAATTGTAACCCAGGATAAGACCTGGGTGATTACTTTGATCCAGAGTAAGAACCTATGGAGGGGCGGTGGAGTAGCCTCGTGGTTAAAGCGTTCGCTCGTCACGCCGAAGACCGGGTTCGATTCCCACATGGGTACAATTTGGGAAGCCCCTTTCTGGGTCCCCCGCCGTGATGTTGCTGGACTATTGCTAAAAGCGGCGTAAAACTCTACTCACTCATTCACTTGTTGAAACAGGGGTAACGTGGCCTCACCCCTTTCAAAGACGTACAAGTGGGTGGCCTCAGTTGACAATTTTTGGACGTTAAAGAGAGAGTTAATCATTCATGATCAGACCATCAGTGGGCAATACCATGCCATTAGCTGTGAGAGGCTATCAAGGATAAACTTCGAGGAAAGCTCGGCTCCGTGTGCTATTGGTTTAGGACAATACACCTACGCACAAGTCAGAGTTGCAGTGGCGGGAGCTGTAGACGCAAGCTCTGCCTTTCGTCCTCGTGTTCCTTTCTCCTGACCAAGCAACTGCTCATGTTTTCTCTTCCCTGAATTAACATGACACCTGCTTGTAGAGTTTTAACATGGCAGTTGCCTCCATCTGGGCCGTCTTGGGTACTAAGCATTCGTCACCACTCGCCCCTTTCTGTAATCTGCAAGAAGACTCGTCCCCCTATCGATGAATGTTATGTGCGAAAATACGACAAACCAATCAGAATGCGCGTATGATTTCAAGTTCTTCGTCAAAGAATCCCTCAGAAATAATTTTTGATTTTACATATGTCTTGCATCTAAAAATATACTAAAGACACAGTTAGATGTGTTCCATCATACTGTATAACTCCGCATGTCCCGATGTGATTTAAATTGCATCTGCAATATATATAATATATGGGTAAAGATGTGTGAATCATTACGCAACGAGTTGACAATTGTTTTAGGTATGCCCGTTTGCGCTAAGACGGAGCCCGGTCGCAAAAATGGCAATGAGAGGGGCACGAGTCGCTATTCGGCTTGTCCCGGAAT